GAAATGAAGGGCAATGAAAAGCAAAAATATTAAAAGGCAATTATCATAAATGCAAGTCTAATTTAATATTGCTCATATAAAATAATCATATATATCTATATAGATATATACAATAACATTCTAGTAAGGGTATGATAAATGAAGTAAAAATATTTTTAAGTTCTTGCACTTGCCAGGAGGAGGACAAAATTCCCAGTCAATATTAGATTTTAATGAGTAAAAAGGACGCATGCTATCTTCTAGATAATACCTAATAAAAGATAAAATGTTGTATGACCTCTAACTTCGTAGTAGGGTGGAGCATATGGGATAATAATAATAAGAAAAACCTTAAGTGAACCCAGCTACTAGGGAAGTAGAGGTAGGAGGATCAGAGTCCCAGGTTGGCCAGGGCAAAAGTAAAAATTGTAAAAAACAATCTAAAAGCAAAATGACTAGGGTATGGCTCAATTGATAGAGTGCTTGTCTAGCAAAAATGAGGCCCTGAGTACTGCAAAACAAAACACCTCAAATATATTCCAAGGAAACCAAGAAAGGAGAGAGAAATGAAAAAGAAACAGATAGAACAAATGGTCATTAATAAACCGATGTATTTAAACCCATGTAAAAATGCCCATATTAACAGACAAAGATAGCCAGACCGAATAAATTGTGTAACTCTAAATATATGCTGTTTATAAGAGGCACTCTAAAACAGCTACAGAAAAGTTGAAAATAAGAGTGGAAAGAAAAGACTACTTACTCCCCAGGGATATTTGATAAACATGTACTTGTACATGTGTAATAATACATACTCTGATTTATATAAGGCAGAAATTGATATAACTGCAGAATAACAGAAACTTATGTACGTCATGGGAGATTTTTTATCTCTTAATAACTGATAGAATAAGCAAACCAACATTCCAGTACAGAAAATGTGAACATGATCAAAACCTTAAGTATATTCTTAATTTACTACAAACTTAACTACAAAAACCTGACTTCGATGACAAACATGGAACATCACAGAACTCATCAAACCCTTTTCAAGTACACATAGCACTTACCAAAACTAACCATACACTGGGCCATCACGTATGCCTCAACAAACTTCAAAGGCGTGATAGCATGCAGAACATGTTCTCTAACGAAATTGTAGCACTTGATACATCGATTGAATTTATTATTGAAGACCTTCCTACAAAGAAAATGCCAAGCACAAACGATCACTCAGTAAATTATTCCTAACATTTAAGGAATAAGCAATGCTGTTTTTCCATTGACCAGGAAGGTTTTGGCCTGTGGAGTTATCCCAGTACAGAGAGCCAGGCAGAAGCTCCTGAAACTTACCCTTCCTATACATGCTACCCCTACACAACGTAGATGACAAATGAAAGACGGTATCATCTTCACGGGGGGAGCTGGTGAAGATTAGTAGCCCTTTTAAAAATCTAAAGGGTAAAAATCTGAGTTCCCTAACATAACTTTTTTTGGCATTACTGGAATTTGAACTCAGTGCTTTGTACTTGCTAGGCAGGCTCTCTACTATGCCTCTAGCAATTTTTTGCTCTGGTTATTTTGGAGATAGGATCTCACTTTTTGCCCAGGCTTACCTGGACCACAGTCCTCCTATTTATGCTTCCTGCCATCATAGGGATAACAAGCATGCACAACCATGCTCAGCTTTTAACTGTTAAGATAGGGTCTTGAAATGTTTTTGCCCAGGCTGGCCTGAAGCCTCGATTCCCCACATCTCAGTCTCCCTTATAGCTTGAGATGACAGGCGTGTGCCACTGGGCCCAGCTATTGGTTGAGATGTGGTTTTGTGAACTTTTTGCCCAGACTGACCTGGAACTGTGATCCTCCTGATCAATAAGCCACGTGATGATTTGTTGACTATGTTAGGCCCTTTCCAGGATGGTTTGTTCTCTTAGGGATTTGGGTTTGCCTTTGCTTTTCAGAGCTCCAGCCAGCACCACCATCTAGGGGCTTACAAGAACCTGATTCGCAGGCATGGACTCCCATAAAACATATCATCCAAAGAAGGGATCCATGCTCCAGTGTAGACGGACAGGAGTAGGCCCATGGCCACGGGACCCACTGGGTGTATTGCACCAGCCTGGTGGCATTGCTCAGTACCAGCTCAGAGGGAATGCCTATACCTATGGGTGCCATCTTTTAGGATACACTATCCGCACTGATTTAGAAACTCCACGTGGCACCATGATCCTAGTGGGATCCCAGATTCAAGAGGTGAAAGCAGGCACTGGCCCCACTTACCTTCAGTGCTCATTGGAAAATTTTATTCTTCCATTCCTGCAACTTTGGACTGGCAGAGTTGAAGACTCTACTCCCCTATAGGTGCGTTTTGCTAAGGGACAAAGCAAGAGTCCTGTTAAACTGCAAGCTACAATTGACAGCTAAGCATCCTGGATTCCTCTTGTCTAAGAAGCACCAAATTGGCAGGGTTAGTTGATCTTAATCAGCAAGATGAGGTAGGGTTGCTGGCTCACAGTGGGGCAAGGAGGGTGTGTGTGTAACTTAAGGACACACTCCAGTGTCCCTTGTTCCGCATTGCCTATTTGTAACTGAGAAGAGACAAGTACAGCTGGCCTGAGCACAGCATGGTGACCAGGGGTCCAGACTCCTTAGGAGTAAGGTTTGCTGTACTATGCAGATGTGCAGAAGTGTCAGCTCAAAGGGAGGGGAATTTCAGGGTGGAGCAGGAGACTGATGAGTCCACTTGTGCACCTGGGACTATTTTCAGGGACAGAAGTGGCACTTTGCCCTAATAACCTCACTCTTGTAAGTCTACCCACCCCCAGGAAGACACTCATGGGAACCCTGGAAAAGCAGCCCCAACAAATGTCTGCATGAGTGGATCTGCCACCATGGTGCTGTCTGCTGGGGTGCCCTCACTGTGGTGCTGAGAGCAGTCAGCTGACAGCCTCTTGCTTCAGGCCCTCAAGGTCCCCTGCAGGTGTAAGCTGGATGAGCTCTCTCTTGGAGCTCCCAGCCAATGACTGAAGGCAGCATGGCACCAGGATCTGGTCATTTCAGTCCACCATCAGTCTCCTTTGTGAGTGATCTTTGCACTAGCACTCCATGATGTGCTGGTAGGGACTTTCTCAGGAACCCTGAGGCTCTTCCTAGTCAATCTTCCTTTCTGGCTTTTCTCCTTTCCTTGGTGTCAGACCTGAAGATTTTCCTGGCACTCTTGCTGTCTCGCTCCTTTGTCTGTCACAGGTGGTATCCTTAACTTCTTGCACTTCTCACTCCCTCTTGGGGTTAGAGATCTGTTTTGGGACTCTCTTGGTTCCCCAAACTGGCAAGCCTCTATCTTAAAACTACAGAGATGAGGCAGCTGCCTGCAGTCTCACACCCAGGTAGTGTTTCTTACACTTAGGAACAAGTCACTTATTTCTGTGTCTTCCCTCCTTATTACATAAACCTAATGAAGAACAGTGGCATTTGACAAAGAGTGAAGTCTTAGTTTTCTATTATTTTACACTTGGAAAAGTTATAACATAGGTACGGGCTTTCTTTTTGCTCTTCTGCTCTTAAGCCCAGACAGCAGCTCCAGTGAGAGCAGGAGACAAGTCCTGTCTGTATGTGCTAACAAGATGTGTGCACTGGAGCATGGACCTGGGTTGCCGAGGGTCTGGGTGCCTTGTAAGGATATTGCTCCTTAGAAACAAAGCACAGAGACCTCATTCTCTCTCCTCGCCTACTCCTGGAGCCAGCCTCACCATTATCCAGTCTGGATCCACAGAGTCACGGGAACATTTTTAGGAATAAAATGTATTTAATAATGAGACCTGGCATTATTGTGATGAACTCAGAAAGGAAGCTTTTTATAATTAAGGTTTCTCTTAATATCCCTTGTCAATTAGTAGGCAACAGCCACAGTAAAGATATTATCTGTTCTCTATGGAATAAAAAGCAAAACACAAAGTTTTAATAACAATGAGGAAGGCAAAAGAGAGAGAACGGGGCAAGGAAATGCTAAGATTCAGATTTCTTCCAGATCTGTATTTAGCCTCCATGAACATCTCATGGGACCATCACATAACAAAGAGACCCTTGATGTCCTGGGTATCCTCACTTCACTTGCTAGGAAAGGGCTGGCTAAGGGCTGGAGTGTGCTCTTGTGCTCCTGCTGGAGTGACAGGAGGGTATACGTGGTGGCAAACTTGGTAAGAAGAGGAAGATGATTGGTTAAAAGATAATGTTTACCTCACAGGGAAGCAACCTTGACAAGCAGACAAGATTTATGAGTAGACACAGCAGATGCCCCAACTCTGAAGGCCATGCTTTGCTCCTGCTACTGCTCCAGAAACATCTCTGCCCCCACAGGACAGTGAGTAACCAGCTTTCCCTCCAGTGGTTATTATTTCATTCACTCTTTAATATCTGCTATAAGTGAGTTTTTTTCCAAATGACTTTGATTTTACTACCCAACCCTTAACATTCTTTGCAAAAGAAGAGTAAACACTTTTCTAGTAAACATTTATTGTCTTTTATTTTATTACAGTTTGTAAATATACTTTTATGTATTAAATTATTACAGAATTCATATTTTAAAGCACTAACTCTCAAAGTTAAGGCATCCACTATACTCATCTCTCTAATTTCAAATGTTAGAACATGAGAAGTAAAGCTGCCAACTTAATTTTGTATTTGCAATCTGAAATTTAGTAGAATAAACTAAATAATTTAGAAATTTCAAGGAATCAATAGGCTAGACATTCAACTAATGGCAGTACTGGGTACTGCCATTTTTTTGGTAGTACTGGGGATTGAACTCAGGGCCTCCTACTTGCTAGGCAGGCGCTCTACCACTGGAGCCACACCCATTTCTTTCATTCGTTATTTTTCACATAGGGTCTCATGCTTTTTGTGCAGGGTCAGCCTGGACTGAAATCCTCCTACCTATACCTCCTACATAGGTATGAGGAGGTACATGAGATTACACACATGTACCACCATGCTTGGCCTCCACTAATAATCCTGACAGTTTGATTATCACTTGGTTTGTTGGTATTACTCATTTACCTTTTATTTATAAGTCTAAGCTGAGGGAAAATTCTACCTTTAGAAGGTTTAATAGAATTATTAGGAGATAACATGTATCCACTCGTTTTCTACAACTGTGGACGCTCATCTTGCTTTACAATGCTCCTTTTCATGTCTTGAGCCTTTTGCTGAACAGTGCATGCTTGTTTGGGCACGGGCCATTTCTCTTTCTGCTGGGATTTTCTGTGGAGTCAGTGGTGCTACCACTGAGCAATTCCACATGTGCTTCTTCAGGCATCTGCAAGACAGGCAACAAAACTCCCCTGGGTGTCCTGTGCACCGTGCCCCCCCACCTGCAGGACGGAATTAACACCAACCCCCACAGAAACCAGGGAAACCATGACAAAGCAATACCATTGTTCCTCTTAATCCTTATTAGTATCTTCAGCAGACGCTTGCAATGTGATGTCAACATAAAACCTGGGACTCCAAGTAACAATTTCATAAACAGGTGTGTCCACTTTGTTAACTCCAGGGTGGGATTTCCTGGGGCGAATTTTTGTTTTTGCAAGATCCGTCTGAGTGATTGATGAATCCATTTTTGCAGCTGTGATTTTTGTCCTAGACTTGATAAGCTACTCTTGCACACTTCAGCTAATAATGAGTTCCTCCCTTATACACTGTGGTGGGATTGTAAATTAGTGCAGCCACTAAGGAAATCAATATGGAAGTTCCTCAAAAACTAAAAACAGGACTACCATATGATCCTGCTATGCTACTCTTGGCAGATATCTGAAGGAATGTAAAGTCAACATACAATAGAGATGTCTGCACACCCATGTTTATAATGGCAATCTAAGAGCCAAGCTATGGAATCAGCCTAGGTGCCTATCAACAGATGAATGGATAAAGAAAATGTGGTATATAGACACAATAGAGTATTATTCACATGAAGGATGAAATGATGTCACTTGCAGGAAAAGGGATGGAGCTAGAGATCATTATGTTAGCAAAATAAGCCAGACTCAAAAAGACAAATACCATGTTTTTTCTCATGTGCCGAATCTAGATACATAAATACAAACAAACAAATGAAAAACCATGAATGTAATGGAGGACGATTTGGGGGGAGGACTAGCAAGAGGGAGGAGTGGACAAGGGAGGATGAAGGGGGGATGAATGGCACCCAAATGCATTGTTTGATGTGTGAAAATGTCATACTGAAGCCCACTATTTTGTACAATAAAAATTGATAAAAGTGATGGATTCCTATAGCTGGTTTGTTGTTGTGTAAAGACACAGAAAACATCCAGTTGGCAAATCAATTGCTCTCACTCAAACAGCTCAATGTTTTTATTCATGAAAAGGACTTTGCTGACCACACTGGATGCTCAGGCAAGCTCTAGCACTGAGTGTTCCTTTACGCATCTAAGTCATAAACAAATAACAAATTATGCAACAAAGCCTCTCGAGTTTTTGCCATTCTGTGTCCTGATCTGGAGTGTTCTTTCTCATACCCTGGGCTGCTCAGCTCCAGAGGAGAATGAAAAGCCCTCTGCTGGATGCACATCAAATGCAGAAACTAGGCCAGTCAGTGCAGACGGTTCCAGGCCCCTGCTGCTGTTCGAAGCCTGCACTTGAGTTCATTTCAGAACTGAGCTCTGGTCCTTTGGAGCCACGCTGCTAACGCCTCTGCTGAGGACAAGAGCAGTGTGGGAACCAGAGGCAGAGTCCAAGCAAACAGGAAGGCGCTTACCGTGGCCACTTGCTACCATCTCTCTCCATATTTCAAAGGTCCTGTTTGCCGGTTAGAGGAGGACTTTTTTTTTTGTGGCGGGGAGGTAAATGGGAATGACCCTGTAAGAATGCTTCTTTGACTTTATTCCTCTCAACTGATGAGACATTGACTTTGGAAATTTAATAATGCACTCAAAATTGCAATAATAAGCCAACCTTAGCATGGGCTGGTTTTGCTCTAATGGTCACTGTACACTTTTAAAAAAATTCCCCAAACTAAACTTTTCCTTTAAAAATAAAGTAGCCCACTCTTACCTTTGTTTTGCATGGACTATTTTCAGAGATCATTCTTTCAGTTTGGGCTCCCATAGCTTCTTCTAAAACTAAATCAAAGAAAATGTCATGGAGAAGACGTAATAACATAAAAGCTAAAAACCCCTAGTGTCTATAGGAATATACGTAATAAGGAGTAGAGAGGCAAATGTAGTGTGTTTAAAAGTGTCACTGTTAGAGCTGCTGGCTTTAAAGTTTTATCGTAGTACCTCACCACTACCATTTATGATTGGCACTCGGCCTATTTACCTTTTCTTATTCACTTTACTCAAAGAAAATTCTTCTAGCCCACTATTAATACTGCTCAGCTGGGAGTCAGCTAGTATTCAGTGACAGATCACCTCAATCTGCACTCTTTCTTTCACCTGGTGTTATGGAGCAGAAGACACGCGGGCTTGTAAGGAGTGCCTGCCAGGTTTGGGTGTAAGCTTATGCTCAGAGGCCAAAGACAGGTACCCTATGTGACTAACAGGATGATGCTTGAGTTTCTAAGCATGAATTATCTATGTTGTATTGGCCCCTGGCTTCTCAACTTTATCCTAACCTCAAAAGATGAGAAGCTAGCAGAGACACTGAATCTTAAAAACATAACTAAATAACAACAAAAATTAACTAACAAGCTAGGAGTTGTTGGCTCATGCCTGTAATCTTAACTACCTGGAAGACTGAGATTGGAAGGATCTGTCGTAGGCCTGCCCAGATCAAAAAACAAAGAGAAAGTTTGTGAGACCCCATCTCAGTGGAAAAATTCTGGTATCATGGTGTGTGTCTGCCATCCCAGCAATGTCAGAAGGCATAAAATAGGGGTTAAAAAAAGCAAAGAAACCCCATCTCCAAAACAACCAGAGCAAAAAAGGCTGAAGCTGTGTCTCAAGTGGTAGAGTATCTGCCTGGTACTCTGAGTTGAAACACCAGTACTATCTCCCCATTAAGTGAACATCTCAGTAGTGCTTTATGACTTTCAAATGGTTTTATGACACTTATTTATATTTTAATCTAATTTATGTTCATGACAGAAAAATAAATTAAATGAATTGCATACATGTAAACAAAAGATAGATTCCTATGATAGGCTGTAATTCTGCATGACACACAAAAGTCCTCAAAAATTAAACTGGAACAGAACAAAAGCATTTTCATAAATGTTTTAAATATTATTTAAAATAAAAAGAAAAAAGCACAAAGTGAAGTGATTCCTCATATAATAAAGAGTTGTTGATCTGTAACCTATAAAAGTATATCTTAATGGTCCAGGGCTAAAATATTACACAACACCGTGTTTGTGGTGCACGGTATAATGCAGAGATGCAGTTTTAAATATCCTGCTTATTCTACGGTAAAAGTGAATAATAAAAATAAAACACTTGCCAACCAGATGTGGTGCACATCTGTAATCCCAGCACTTGGAAGACTTAGGCAGGAGGATCAAGATTTGGAGACCAGCTGGGGCTACAGTGAGCCCTGTCTCAAACAAACAAAACATCATCAAATAAAACAGTGTGTTACATCAGTAAGAACTTAGATTTGGATTCATGTGAGTATGAATTGAAAATGTTTATTTAACTAAGAGTTTATGTAGTTTTTTTCAACTCTCTGCTTCTAGTTCTAGATGGAAAGTTACACATCTATGTCTGCTCGGCCTTACTTCCATGGTGAATAACAAGAGGCCAAGGGAGGGCATGGGGAGTTTGGAGGAGAAGGCAAAAGACATTTTTTTGTCTTTTTCTTTTTTTTGGTGCTGGGATCGAACCCAGGGCCTCAGGCATGCTAGGCAAGCGCTGTACCACCGAGCTACATCCCAGCCCCAAAAGACATTTTTAATACGTGTGCGCCAACCTGTTAGAGTCTCATCAAGCTGGTCCACCATGAACTTCGCATCGTCCTTGGTGAAGCACATGGGTGGTTTTATTTTAAGCACATTTCTGTGAGGTCCGTCAGCACTGAGAAGCACTCGTTTTCCTTTCATCCTAATTAGTGCAGGAAATACACATGAGTGCACACAAATGATAAATGCGATTATTTAAGGACGGTATGAACATAGTGCAGTCAAAATGTTCTGCATTCAAGGAGCCTGTGTTTATGCACGTGTTGTAAGTTTTCCTTTTACGGAGAGATGAGAGGAAGTAAAGCAAACATGCAAGGGGCCAAGATACCAAGGGCTGTGGAGGGGAGTTTACTTGTAGATGATGTGTTGCGCTTCAGCTGTGGCAGGGGTTCTTTCCTCATGGTCCTTCACTAAGTCAATTCCGATAAAAAGGCCAATGCCCCTGAGAAAGGTGAAAAAAAAATCCACACCCTAGTGTCACAAAAAGACAATACTGTCCCCAACATCACTTTAATTTGAAGCTGAACATGATGTTCTCTAAGTGGAAATTGATTGTAACTAATCTAAGCTATCAGGAGTATGCACAGTTATTTCTAGTTTTTGAAGTTTTTATCATAAATTTTTCCCCTCACTTAATAATAAAAGAAGAGGGCTTAAAAACAACAATCTCATGCCACTAAATTTCTCGGATATTTATGATGGTAAATCTTTATATATGTATGAATATAAATCACATATATCAAACTATCTGGCTTTTTCAGTAGCATTTTAAATAATTTTTCTGTAGATCATATAGACTTACTTTAAGTCTTTTCATGTTTTGGGTGCTAAAATTATTCTAGCTTTATAAAAAAGAAAGTGTATAAAAGTCAGGAAAGATACACATCTACATATTAACAGTGGTGATATCTGGGTCCTGGATTAAGAATGACTTTTTGCTGGTGGAGTGGTTCAAATGGTACAGCCTCTCTAGCAAGTTCGAGACCCTGATGTCAACCCCCCAGTAACCGTCCCTTCCCCCCAAAAGACTTGCTTTCCCTGTTTCTCAGTGTTTTCTAGATTTAGTTTCCTAGACTTTATTTCAAATTTATATGATGACATATAAGCTACTTTTATCTTTGGAAAAATGAGTGACTAGAAGACAGCTTCATGATAAACATACCTAATATCTCCTATCAAAGTGTGTTTAGCCTTCTGTTTATGCAGTAACTCCATAAGATAATTTCCCACTCTTGAAGCATTGCTCTGAAGGTCTTCATGTTCAATTATATCCAGGACAGCCAAGCCAACAGCACAAGATACTGGATTTCCTCCATACTGGAGAGAAAAGACAAATGAGAAGACAACAGTTGAATTAGTTGGACTACTTTATCTATGGGAAATCTGGCTCCTGTATATATATATATATATATATATATATATATATATATATATATATATATATATATATAAACTTTTTTCATATATATAAAAATATAATTTTTTTAGACTGCTCCAAGGACAGTGTGATATTTTCTTTTATTGTTTTTACATTTACTCACATGTGTATACATTGTTTGGGCTACCTTCCCTCGTCTTCCCCTCCATGCCCCACCCCCGACCCTGCTTCCAGGCAGAACCAGTTTTGTCGAAGAGAAAACATAAGAGATAATAAGAGAGACATAGCATTTTTGCTAGTTTGAGATAAAGATAGCTATACAGAGAAATTATAATTTTAATGCAATTAATTTCTCTTCTATTACTAATTTATCAGATTTAGAATGCAGCATGATTCTATACATCAGGATTGAGTGAAAGCTCATTCCAGATTATATTCTCCATGTTGACATAAAGGACTACCAAGGGACTTATTGGTTCAACCAAACAACAACAACCATACAAAAGACATTAAATTGTTATTAAGGAGTTCAGAGTATGGTTCAGCAAAAGAAATACAGGTTTTTGACTAAGAGCTGAATGAAAACAGCTAAGTAATGACATTTTCTCCCAAAAAAGATATGATTTTAGATTTGAACCTTACTTTTGGCTATAACAAGTGTTGTTATACATACTGCACAAGCTACAATAATTTTTCCAAGCCTAAAGCTTATTACTTTGGGGAGTAAAGCTAAGGAAATACAATTTCCCAAAGATGAAAACTTAGTATCTGTCAGGATAGTTGAATACTATTTATGGTACTGAACCATCAAAATTCTTTAAAAGTTTTTGGGGAATTTAAATATGAGACATAACAAAGAAGATTTCATCGTCTGTTAATGAAAATATCATAACCTCCAAAGTTTAGCAGGATAGCCATCTATCATTGGAGCAATTAATAAGATTGTTTGAGGAAGAAGGAAAATACAAGAATAATTGGACTAGATATAATAAAATCTGGTGAGATCAAAGTTTGGTTATGGTCCTAGGGTGGTTAGCTGGTAATATTGAGGCTTATTCTTCACTACATTAGCAAAAAGTAAGAACATGGCATTGTTTTTCCCTCTTAGAGTTAGAATTGCAGACCAAAATTTACCGTATTGAAGTACTCCATCCCAGAGTTGCTGAAGGCTTCTGCAATCTCTTTGGTTGTTACCACACATGCCATGGGGTGGCCATTGCCCATTGGTTTTCCCATGGTGACGATGTCAGGAACAAAGTCTTCGCCATGCACTTGGAAGCTCCAGAAATATTTCCCTACTCGGCCAAAGCCCACCTGAACTTCATCAGCTATAAACACTCCCCCTGCTCTGTGAACATATCTGAAAAGCAAAGTTGTATTTTAATGCCTTCAGGTCCCTAAGAGTCCCCAAGTGTATCCACAAAGATAAAGATTATTGAAGACAAAAAACATTAACCTGAAGCCTTAATCTGCTTAAAAATAGTCTAGTACTCAAAATCCCACACAGACTCTGCAGTATAACCACATAATTTCTAGATGGGAAACACTATACAGTGTTTGGACTTATGCTATTTAAAGTAACTGTACTGAAGTATTTGAAGTGGGAAGAGAAAGAATTGAACAAGAAGCTTTTTAGCAGTTGTAATCTTCAATTTTTTTTTAAACTACTTTGTAAGATTTAGGCACCAACCAATCAGACAGGATGCAAGGCCAGTGGCTGGAGTAGAGTTCTAGAGGCCTTTCTGTTGGACCATGTGTAAACACCTCATTTTCTGGATCTTGGGAAAGGTCAGGGGACTGTCCAGAAGTCCTGAGATGGCATACATTCAGGAGTGGCTATTCACCACTTAGTCTGGAGTATGTTAATATTTTAGCAACAAGTATGGCCCTATAGAATTCTGACAGTGCCCTTGGTCTGACCAAGGATGCCCAAGTCAAGTACATACTCTGCCACTTTCTGGAAGTAGCCTGCTGGAGGAATTATTTGTCCACCACAACTCTGCATGGATTCAGCAATAAAGGCAGCAATCTAAATGGGGAAATGAAGATGGGGTCAAAGTCCATTAGCTTCCCCTCTTGCCCCCTAAAAAAGAGGATCCCTTATAGAGCAGTTTATTTTTAAAGTGCTAAGAATAGACTGGTTCTTAGTGGCAAATAGCCCTTTTGACTAAAAATAAAAGATGTCTGTGCTAGAAAAGCAACTGATTTAAAGACCTAGTCTCTAAAGTTTTAGGGTTCTAATAAAGCTACCATGAGAAACGGGGGTGCAAGAGGGAGACTTTCATTTCTTCACAAGTACCTGCAGTGATTTCATTGGCATGTGCTCAATAAGACATGCTTTGATCAAGTCTTTGATATGATCCTCTAAAAATTATCCAGGTTCCAAAGACATCACCTTGGTCCCTGTTTCCCAGGCTGGAGTTGGCAGTAAGCAAATGGGAAAGTGGCTTGTGGCCCCTACCATAGGAACTCTGGTATATTGCCAGGTCTTGCCTTGAGTCAGGCTTGCCTCCACAGACAATTCACAATAGGAACTCGGATGAAGTGCTCTAGAGGCTAAAGGAGAAGAAGTAGGAACTGGATCAGGCTGAGGTAAGACGAGAACATACAAGAAGAGCATGAGATAAGAAACCAAGATACCAAGGTCTCATTCAGACTGCCTTAACACTGTGTTAGCCTGGGTTAAATCCTTCACTTTTCAGTTATTCAGTCTTAGCTATGAAATGGGATGTGTGGACTCCAGAGATTTCTGTTCTAGAATTCCATGACTTTGTGAGAACATACTCAGAAGACCTACCCTAAATCAGTGCTTCTAGCATTGTTAACATAATGGTATCAATACGAATATTTGAGAATATTGAATGCTAACATTCTCAAAATATTATCCAAACACTCCTTCAGGAGCAAAGGGCCCATATGATGTACTTAATTTAATTTTCTTCCCTGAAAACATTGTTTATACTAAGAGGTATAGGCTGTATTTAAAGAGGGCTGACTATAAGGCTCCCATAAACAGACAACTTTAGGTCTACCTGCACAGAGATCTCACAAAACAAGACAGGGGAAATCAATGGGTTGAGAACAAAAAGAAGAAATTGGGAGTGAGTGGTTCTCCAGTTATGAAGACAAACATGTTTGAATTCTTTGGGAAAAGCAAGTCATGTCTATTTCTATTAGTGTTTTTAAAATTACCATGTCTACACCATAAGCCCGTTTAAAGGCAAAGCTTTTTCAAGTTGCATTAAATATTCACATCGGTAACTGAGAATTAAACATTACACTGAAAACAGGGCGAAGACTGAAAAAATAAGGGTCTTGAGGACACTGGTTCTGCCTTAGAAGTCCAAGTCCAGTTTGGACGGACAGTTTTCTGTCTTGGCTGACCCAGGCACAGACCAACCCCAGGCTCCACGGCTTTGGGAAGGCTGAACTAACTCCAGAGAAGCACCAAGGCTCCCTGGTGGGTCTGGAAGTCTGCAGTAGTCTTACGTCCCAGGGCCCTTCTGTCTCTTCTCTTCCCCCTGCCATACATTAACCATGGGTGCTCCTCTCAGTTGAAAGAATCTGCCCCTGAGTTATCACTTATCCTGATTCTCTCTTCCCCTGTCTTCTGGACCAGGTCCTACACAACAATGAAGAGGTCAGAAATAGGCCACCAAGAGCACTGGCAGGAGCATAGTGATTGCATTTCCAGGATAAATAAGAGAGGACAGTTGTAGAGGCATGACTGTAACAGTGCCCTTCCTGAAACACAAACCAAGTGAAAGTGTAACCAGAGAAGACTAGAAAGGGAATTTAGATCTAATCCTTTGTCTTCTCTCCTGTGAATTACAACAGTCTCCAACTATTCTATAAAAGTTGTTAGAGTGCTTCCCAAACTGCCAACCTTCCTTCCACGGTTGTGAGCTGCTTCAATAATTTTCCTCACTTCATCTGCATAAGCGCTGGCTGGGTCTGCATGGTCTTCCCTGTATTTGCCTCTGTAAGTATCTGGAGTTGGTGCCTAAAAACATCAAATGATGTAGTTTCTTATCATTTGCTTCTTTGACAAGCTTTTTAAAAAAAGGCATTCCCCCCATCCAGGGCATTATGAAAGGTGATGGTATCGGAAGAAATGGTATCTTTAAATTTTGAACAGGAGCTTGAATTTGCTCCCAGACCCTTATAAATCAAGACTTTAGCCTTATTCACATAAAAAGCAAATTCAGATCAACAATTATGATTATGATATGTAAACTGTCAATGAATAGAAACAGTGTTAATGATTCTATATTTAAAATGAACCAATACTTTACCAATCATATCACAAATTATAATCATTCAGAAAACCGGAAAGTGCCTTATCACTGACTCCAGATTTTAAAATCTTGAGAGAAGGCAGTGAAGATTCACTTCAGGAAGTCCACTGATCCTCAGTTAACACAAACACACTGAACAAATTTCACTGTACTGACAACTTGGTTGGCTTTTTTATTTGATTTAGCAGATCTATATAGTAATTTAGCATGGAGCAAATTAATTTTATAGCAGTCATTCAAATTTAATTTAACTCTGAATTTTGAGTTGGCATCAGTGTAAGAAAAAGTAATTAAAAGCCAGGTGCTGGTGACTCACATCAATAATCATAGCTACTTGGGAGGCTGATATCAGGAGGATCTCGGTTCGAGGTCAGCCTGGGCAAAAAAGTTCATAAGACCCCATCTCAAGCAATAGCTGGACACGGTGATGTTTGCCTGTCATTTCAAGTTACAAATGGGAGGCTGAGATCAGGAGGATTGTGGTTCCAGGCCCATTCAGGGAAACAGTTTACAAGTCCCCATCTCAATGGGAAAAAGCTGGGCTGGTGGCACAGGCTTGTCACCCCAGTGACTGCAGGAAGTGTAAAACAGGATAATCATGGTCCAGGTTAGTCTAGGCAAAAAGCAAGACCCTGTCTCCAAAATAACCAGAGCAAAAGGGCTGTAGGCATGACTGAAGCTGTAAAGCAGCTGTCTCACAAGCACGAAGACCTGAGTTCAAACTCCAGTACCACCAAAAGAGCAATTCAAGATCACTGAGAAAGAAAAATAAAATGATGGTTGTGAATAACATGCTGTACTGAACTAACTTGTCTGCTGTCAGCTCATCAATGGTTTTAATCCACATTGTGCATTGTGAAACACTTTGACTTGAGCAAGTCACATAACTGCTCCATATCTTAGCTTCTTTTTCATGGCTTCATTTTAATGAAAGTATTGGGCTGGATTACCATGAGGCATTTTTTTGTACTAAATTCTGATGCTAGGATTCTAAGACACTCACCACATGCACAAATTCTTTCTTGACATCTTTGCCCTTCCGAAATTTATATGGGCTGATCTCAATTAAAGATGATAGGTGACCATGGTAAGCACTGAAAAGAAAGAGAACAATAACCAACATTGTTCCAATAAGAACGCTTTTCCAGTTTATGAAATACTGTGTTGCATTGTCTATATGCATTGGTCCAGAGAGAATCTCAAAACCGGTGCCAGATTTTACTATATATGATCTAATTTTTCGTGGCAAGACTGCCCATTTAATTTGTCCATTTCCTCTTATACATGTAGTAAAGTACACAGAAAGCCAAGTATGTGAAGTATGTGTTCTCACAGGCAATTTCTTTTTAGTTGGGAAAAATGTGATTTCTTTGGGTTATATTGCTAGATTAGATTCTTTAAATATGGAAAATTATTTTCTATATCTTCATGCAAAATCCACATGTGTTATTTGATAGTTACAGTAAATTTTTTTCTGTTTTTGTTATATTCGTATGTGCGTAGGGTCTCGCAGGTTACCCAGGCTGGCCTCAAATTCCCAGTGTCAAGGGATCCTTCTGCCTCAGCCTCATCAGTAGCGAGACTACAGGCAGGTGGCCCCACATCCAGCCGGTCAGTTTTAAAAACAGTTTTATTGCAAAGAATGGGCAGTGTGCTTCCGTTTGGGGTGGTTTGTAAAGGATGTCCCATTGCAAATATTAGACAAAAACTAGTTGAGCAGGAATAGGCAGTATCTTCTGAAGAACTCAGATTGAGAGGTGACCAAATAGATACGAAATTCCTTTCACTTAAATCACAAATGGCTATGACATTCCTTTCTCTGATTCTTGTCCAGAAATATAAATGGGAGAGCTGAAGGTGAAATTATAAAAGGCCCCTGAACACATAAAGCAAAGGGGGAACTTTTCAGATTTAGACATTATACAAAGCCTGAGTAATAAAATTAAGTATGGTAGAATAAAGACCTCTGGAACAGAAATAGAGCTCAGAACCACATCTGTAAATAAATAGTAACAAAATGGGATCCAGGTGAATTCAATCTAAGGAGTAATGATAAAATAGAAGAAAAGGCAGAATATATTTGTAATCTTGGAGGTGGGATAGGGATGAGGAGAGAGATATTTTATTAAAAAAGCAGAAAAACCAAACCACAAGAGGAAAATTTTATTTACTTAACTTAATCAAAATTAAAGATTTCTGTTGAAGAATATGGGCACAAAGTTAAAAGACAGGTGACATACTGAAAAACATCTAAAATGTCACAAGCCAAAAGAGATTAAGGCGTAAAGTGGTGGATCTCAATGCCTGCATACTCAGACTTACTTGAGGAATCAGAAAAACACCAGTTCCTGGAATCCGCCTCTGCAGATTCTCTTCAATTGGTCTGGGGTGGGGCCTGAGCACTGGCACTAAATTTTCCCCAGATGATTCTAAATTGCAGTCAAGGTTGAGAACCTTTGATATAGACTAGATAAACAACTACAAACCAACAGGAAAGGGTGGAAATCCCAACAGAAAAATGAGCAAAGACTATGAACAGATAATCCTCAGAAATCACAGAAGCAAAAAATGCATATGAGGAGATTCTCAAACTAACAACTAAGAAAATGTGAGTTAAACAACATTGAGATGATAGGTTATACCTATTTAACTGGCAAGCGTAAGAGAAAAAAAAAAAGAAAGCTGGATGATTTTTATTGTTTTTTGGGGGAAGGTATGGGAAATGGGAACTTTCATGCACTATGTGGGGTGCTGTAACCATTTTGGAGACAAATGTGAGAGTATTCAGCCAGATTAATATTTTTAGTACCCTAGCCCTAGAAATCCTGCCTCTGGATTTGTAAGAAATCCTTAGAAAGGTCTGCAAGGACACATGTTCAAGGATACTTACTGCAGCCCTGTTTGTGGTGGCTGAGAGTAATGGTGAGCACAGTAGCAGTCATTGAGGAATGCCAACCCCTATGGCAGCCACTCCTCACATGTGGGTATTGGGTGCTTGAAGTGTGGCTAGTTTGATTTGAAATGTGCAGCAGGTGTAAAATACACATTAGATGTTCAATGGTTAGTACAAAAAAGAACGTAAGCTATCTCAGTATCTTTTACATTGATTGCAGATTGAAGCGAGCTACTGGAATATTTAAAGTTGCTTATGTGGCTCACATTCTATTTCTACTGGACAGTGCTGAGTTAGAAGAAACAGAACAGATGTTCACATAGAGTTCTTAAAGCATAGTGCTTACGGATAAAAGGTGGAAACAGAAAAAGATCTATAGCAATTTTTGTAAAACAGATGCACATAAAATAATATGTATTTTACATAGATCAAAACTAAAAGATACACATTGAACATATTAAAGTTGTCTGTAGTTGAGAGAGGATGGGGGAAAAAAGAGACAAATGCCCACCCCCATATGTTTGCATCCCAATACTCAGAATCTAATGCTGTATTATGTTTGGTGGCAAAGGGGACTTGGCAGATGTGATTGTTAAGGGTCTTGAGATGGCAGGCTGTCCTGGATTATCTGGGCAGCTTAATGCAATCTCCAGTGAAAACAGAAGGCGGGGCCAGAGGAAAAGGTGGAGGTTTGAGGATGGAAACAGAGGCTGGAGTGAGGTGACAGTTGACTTTGAAGACAAAGGTAGTGAATGCAAGCCTCAGAAGGAAGGCAGCTGTATGCAGAGAGCAAGGAATCCCCAGAGCCTCAAGAAGGAGCACTGCCCTACGATACCTTGATTTTAGCTCAGTGAGACCTGTTTTGGATTTCTGACTTACAGAAATGTAAGATAATAAATTAGTATTGTTTAAACCCCTCAGATTGTGGTAACAAATACGGCAACAATGGGACGCCAACCTTCACATAAAATGAGAGGAGCCTACAGAACGGCAGGAAAGGAGGAGCATATTTACTTCCACCCTCTTCAAAGCAGGTTCATGGGGGGGGGGGGAGAAATAGATAAGAAAAATTAAAAGAAAAAATTTCTTCAGTAAAAATGGAAGTTGTGAGATTTCTTGTATAAAAAAATAATAAATTCATGCTTGAGCAGTAAAGGTAAATGTGACTGTTAATATTCACAAACTAATGATAAAGTATTAATTTTCACTTGGTTGTTTGTTTCCTTTAAAATCTACTTTAAATTGTTATCTTTAAGTTAATTGTAGTGGATAATTGTAACAGTGAAGTAGATGCTTGGGTTTTTAAGAAATTGCATGTTTATTTTGAAAAAGATTGAGTGATGTAGATGCAGCAGTGGTATAATTAATGTGTGAAAAGTCTGCTGTGACTCACACAGAAGTCATGAAGCTACAGCATCCTGGCGTCCTGTAAAGCTGCCTCCATCTGCAGGTACTTGGAAGGAATTAGCCTATGGATTTAACCTGGCCTTGATGCCTAAACACAGAATTTTAAAACATTGCTCCACGATTTGCCCTCCTCCACTTGTGCCTATGGTATTAGTAAGGATAGGTTCAGTACAACGTTGACTCTGATGGAACTTCTTGCTTAAAAGCTTTAAAAACCCAAGACTTACTGGTCTAGCGTGATCACATCTTGGTGGCCTCGGAACTGCCGAGCTAGGCGTAAGGCTAAGTCATTGGCTTCAGATCTGTTAAGAGAACATAGTAGAGATAGGGGACAATGACAGTCTCTTTTTAAAAATATTTCACAATGCCGGGCACAAAAGCAGTAAGATTACATTTATAGAGTACTAAGTTGAGTTCCTCTCTTCCCCTTCCACCTTACATACCCTATACTCTCACTTCACTTACTAAGATATGTTCCCTAGATGTGTTCAATAAAAAAATGAGACCTATAGAAGAAACCCAGTAAAAATGATGGATTTGTTGCCTATTTCAAACTTTAGCCTAATTCAGTCACATTAGTAGGTGACTAGATTTAAGACAATCAAAGCCTATATTAAGTCGGATCTCAAGAGGCATGGAAAGCTTGAGGGCCCAGTGACTTGGCTACCTATGTAGTACTGTCTCAATATTTGATTCGTTTTCTTATGTATAAAATGAAGATCAAATTTTTTTATGTTGTTTGGAGAATCTAAATATACTGTCCAGACACAAAGGAAGAAAATAATCAAATGTGGAATGTTTACTGTCTGCTGGATACCACGATGAGTGTTTACTTGTAGTTATGTTCCTGACAAATCTGATTGACATCTCCTTTTATACGGTGAGGAAGCAGCCTCAGAGAGTTAAGCAATCTGAATAAGGTTTCACAGCTAATAAGAGGTAGAGCTGGGATTCAGATTGAAGCCTGTATGAATTCCGAGACTGTGTAACTTCTTTGCAGTAGATATGCTCTGTCACATGTAGTCCTTGGGAACAGTGCTGTTTGGGACCGATCCTTTTTTGATATTATAGAATTCTTTAGAAATGTAAGTCACATATTAACTTTAATTTATTAAAGGCAGTAATTCCTTACAACAATACTCTAAATCCCAAAATATCTTCTTAATTATATTTTTTGTAGAAGAAAGCAGAGATTCATCAGGACATCATTAAAAGGGGAATAAAATGTTGGGCAGCTAGCCAAAGGAGTGTAGTGCTCTTACCTTTTTAATTCTTGACAAAAAAAAAAAAAAGAAAAGAATGATATTCTGGTTACAAATTTAGTTTTAAATTATCTCATAGAGATAATTTAATTGAATCATAGAAAATCATGTAAGCAAGCACTTATATAATAATTTTAACACACAGAGTTCACTTTAAGAATAGGAGTTTCTGCTGGGTATACAACTTTCCCCCTAAGATAACATTTCATTTCAAGCTTCTCACATCATTAGGCACGTATTTTCAAAGACACATGTTTTTTGATATCTGCACAATCTTCCTTAGAATGAATATATGGCAATTTGAATTTACAGGATTTAAAAGTTGGGATGTATGCTCATTTGAATTTCCTTCTTCCTTTTTTTGTGTTTGTGTTGAGGCAATATGCTCAATTTCCATAGGAAAACAAATCAGTCAAAATTTTTAGAAAAGTTACAGCTTATTTAGTATAGTTATTTCTTTGGTACTATTCCATATGTCCTGAAAGAACTATCTGGACCCATTGCCTCTTTAACAGTATACTTCACTGCCTGAAAAGGTAAGCATCATTTGGTCAGTTAGGCTCAGAGTCATGAAATTAAGCAGAAGAGACAGAACAGCCAGGCCCATAATGTGAGGTCCCTTAGTGAATGGTAAGAATTCCATCAAAACTTTCTTAGACATCTCTGCTATAACATGAGTCAGAAGGAAAGGAACATACGAGAGAGTGGACAAGAGCATAAGGGGGATGAGGATGCACGGGAAAATGGACACATACCCTGAATTTGTAAAATAGCACACGGAGAGCTTCTCTGGCAGCGTCGCAGAAAGGCGCTTGGCATACTCAACAATGTTGTCGTGGAGGAATCGGGAATTTGTATTTAGCATTTCCATCTGTGTCAGGGCAGCTCTGACCACTTCTGGGTGACAATGTCCCACTAAAATTAGGGGACAAAAACCCAAGAAATAAACTACAATTCTTTTTTTTTTTTTTATTGTTTGGAAACTACATCTTCATTGGGTTATATTTAGCTGATTGAATTTATGAAGCTAATCTAAGAGATTAAAGAAGAAGAATGAAATATATGATTAGTGTTCAAAGATATCACTGACAAAATAAATGGTAGATTTAAAAATATTAGCAAATAGCAATGCTAAATAGGTTTGTATACTTTTTTCCAGTTTATTAGTTTTTTTCTTTCAGGCTCTTCTCACTCAGCTTTTTTTGTTGTTGTACTGGGGACATATGGTGACATTTACAAAAGTGCTTACAATATATCATAGTTTAATTTCTCCCCTCCATCATTCTCCTTTCTCCCCCCTGCCCCCATTCCTGGAAATTTCAAGAGGTCTCATTTTTCCATTTTCACACATGAGTACACAATATTTCCACCATATTCAGTCTCATACACCCTTTCCTTATATGGGAAGTGAGGGGAACTCTGAAGCAAGATAGAAAAAAGTTGAACTCCTTGTCTTCCACATTTTAGAGCTATTAGCCCACTCAGAAAAAGGACTGAAGCAATGCAGCTCCTGAGATGAGGATTACTTCGTAAGTGTTTCCTCCAAAGCACGACAAAGGGCATGTACCATGGGCAACGTTGTTGATGCAGTCCAAGTACTGTTGACCTTTCTCATCAAACATGTACTGCCTCTGAGCTCGCACTATTTTGATGGGATCCGCAGCAAAGAAAACTTTGCATGAGGGCCTAGAAATAATCAAAGGAAATACTTTAGTCTGGGAGGATCACTCAGTATTGTTCTTGTAAATGGAGGTCACCATCAGCGGGAAAGTACAATTACATAAGGGAAAGAGAAAACACAATCTGGGTGACGTGTGTTTTGTTTTTCATTTCACATTGGCCTGGAACTTTCTGCCTTAATCCCTCATTCATACCACTGCTCACTTTTCTTACTTTTGTCATTTTAAGTTTGCTGTGACTTGACACCTCTATTTAGAGACATCACTAATAACCATAATCACACAAACCAATAACTCATTTTCCTTTGGGAAATTTTGTTTCATCAAGGAAAAATAAACTTTAAAAAAATAAACTTTAACTGTTACATATTTTACAAATATTGTTTCACTAAATCATCCCAACAATATATGAAATAGGGACTGTTATTGATCTCACTTTTATGGGTAAAGACAAAATTAAGAATGTTATATAAACAGCTAGGGGGAAAACCAGAATTTGGAAGTAGGCTGTATTGTGCCATATCCCAATAAAAGTTTTCTGTCTGTCTCTTTCTCTCTCCCCTTCCAGTCTACTTTATAAACGACTAGCACCAAAAGTTAAATATAAAATAACTTCTAGTTAAATACTAAAAATGAGATTGAACCCAAGGCCTCACATATACTGGGCAAATGATTTTTTATCCCTGAGCTAATCCTCAGTCCCTCACTGATGTAATCTTTAAACATCAGATACAGTAAAAATAGTACTTAATGAGAATTTCTTGTTTGTCAGATGCAACTGTTAGTTTATACCTAAGAGTTAAGATCCACACAGAACCTTGCTGGGAATGTGAGCTGTACGCTGCAGACTTCACCTTGCCTTATTAACATGCTTTTCATCTTGCCCATCTGACTTCAGGTAAAATTCTCTTTCTTCTGGTCCTAGGCACCTACATTCCTCCTCCACAGAATTCCTCACACTGGAAACTGTTAGGGTTGCAACAAAATTGAATGACACAGAATTGAAAACTAAGAGTAAGCGATTAGGAAAAGTGGGTGGTGGTTAGCTAATGGGGGAGGAATCTGGCCATTTTAAGAGTGATCTAAAAGTCACCTAAACCACCTCTAAACAACTCTGGGATGAGGCCAGGAGCTTCAGTCAAAGATATTGCCCAGCATTTCTTGTGTCCCTTGGTCTTCAGGTCTGTACCAGTTAATTGAATATTACAGACACTTGATTTTATAGCAGCAGGGCTCACTAATAGACAATCATCATTCATATTTACATGCATCTTTAAAAAAAGAAAACAGACACAAAACAACACACTTCTATTCACATTGGCTTGCTCCTGTAAAGTAGAATGACATTAAAGTCGTCGGACAGAGGCCACAACTGTACCATGACACCCAAGTAGGACCAGAGTTCAGGTCAGTCTTGTATGCACGGTACATTACCAAGTCGTTTATAACACCGACGGAACAAAAGCAGACTGGGGAGAAACAGCATCTGAAAATTCCAGTGAGGGCACAGCTTGGAACACCAAAGATGGGTAGGCGACATCAGCTAACTGAAGTCCTGACCTTTCTGACAACTGGTTTCAAGTTTTTCTCCTGGCTAGATTAACACACCGCTTAACCAAGCATGTAAGGGGAGAAATAAATTCACTTTAAACCTAATTTTCGTAGCCATCATGATTTCAGGTTTCGAAGTGCTCATTGCATCTCCCTCCCCGCACCCATCCTGGGGTGGCTATTAGTCCCTTGGGTGAGCCTTTTAGCCTTCGAGGCCATCCCGTCTCCTCCCGCAGCAGCAGCAAACCCCCCACCCGGCTGCCGAGCGCGGGAGAGCGCACTCAGGGAAAGACCCCCAGGATGCCAAATGCGGGGCGCGGCGGGGACGCGCATGCACACGCGTGGCCCGCCGCAAACGCTCATGCGCATGCGCGCCAGGCAGCAAGCAGGCCCGCAGCGAGTGGGGTGAGTTTGCGCATGCGCGGCCGGCGGGCGGGGTGCAAAGTCGCTCGCCTTGCAAGTGACTGTCTTTCTGGACTGTCCGCGCTCTTCGCTTGCATTCGCTGTTTCCTGACCCCACTGCCGCTCTCCACCCTGTGCACTCGTATTGCCTCCTCTGTGCATCCTTCTTCCGGGCCGGGGAGCTCTTACCCGATGTGCTTCCCCCTCAGCGCCAGGGTGTCCTGCTTGCTGTACAGCTCGCACATGGTAGCGGGTGCCAAGCGCCCCCAGGGGTCTCTCCCCTTTCCGGTCAGTGCTCCTTACCCCGGAGCCTGGAACTTTCTCAGCCGCCTATCCTTTCCTCCCCTGATCCCTGCGGGGGGGGGGTCTCCCTGGCCCTGGGCGTCGGAGGTCACTGGTGGCACCGACCAACTAGGGTCATCCCCCTTTTAAGTGTTGCCCTGCCTTTGCCCATCGCCAAGTCCCTCCCTCCCCCGTCCCCTCCTCCGCCTGGTGCCTGCTTGGCAGGTCACCGGAGCCGCCACCCCCGCCCCGGTCCGACTGGCTCCTGTCCCTGCCCTGCTGAGGCCCACTGCCCCTCCCATCCATGCAGTTTCCTTTTACTCGCCCTCTATTTTCCTGACTTTGCCTTGTCTTCGCCTTCCTTCCTCCCCTGCCTGTGAATTTGCTTCTCTCTTTTCTTCCTCATTTCTTTTTAGTGTGTTATTTTCAAAGATTTCAAAGAACGCTCCCTGGAGATATCAAGACTCAGCGTTTTCTCCATTATATAAGTACTTAACCTACCATTTACTCGCCCCAGGATAAGTAACCAGGATGCAGCCTGGTGTCTCAGTTGGGAGTTGAGGTATACAGTGTTCCAAATAGCTAATAATAATTACATTTAATTTCTAACATTCACGTGGCCTATCTAGTTCAGTCTTCAAAACAAGCGTGAGAGAGGTGCATGGGGCGGGGGGGTGAGGTTATTCCCTATTCCACGATTACATACCTTCCCTGGTGGTGAACTTGGGACTCACTCACGTTTGTTTGGATCCCTCCCTTCCCCCCCACTTCTTCTATGATGATCTCACAGTGATCAAATTTGAAGTTAAATACCGGTACAGATAGAACCCTAAATAACTCTAATGTTGAATCATAAGTTATTTTCCGAGGTAGAGGTCATCTCATTTAACCCCTCTTCTGTTGACACGAACCATGAGGCAGGAAAGGTACAGGCTGCTTCAAGGTCACACTACTTTCTCTTAGCCATACAGTTAAGAGTAGATCATTTCATCACTCTGTGTTTTGGAAGGGCAGAAGAGAAAGCCTAATTTGCCTGAATCAATACATTTGATATCTACAAATGAACTTTCTCTTGAATAAAGTTATTAATTTACATTAATGTGCCCTAAATGAGTAGAATTTCATTTTCTAAGATAGGTGGAGAAATGGCATCCTAAGAAGAACATCCTGTTAAGAATTCTAAGTGTCATAAATGGAAGACAAAAGCACTTCAGAGACTTGCAGAAATCCCAAATTTGTGATCTTGCTCTAGTTCTAAACTTGAAAGATGTTGGTAACTATACCTGCACTCTCAAACCACCCAGACCTGGTGAAGTCATACATGGTCACTGACATCCCTCCACAAACCTCTGTGGTTCCTGGTTCTTCCCTGGGCTTCAGACTGTGTTCTTTCTTGACTAAGAATTTTGGGTTCTAGATCTGGCTCTTCTGTAAACTAATTGGGCTTCTTGATTTCTTGGGGGCTCATTTCTTTATATGGAAAAACAATTTCTCTGAGACTCAAAGCAGGACAAGTAGGGCTTCAATAAAACCATGATTTGGTGTCTCTGAGGGAGACACCAAATGAGACCAAATGTCCCATTAACATGACATTTATATTCCCACCAAGACCTTTCTTCTCGGTCTCAGACTCTCATATCCACTTCTTTCCTGACATCTACACTTAGATGTCTTAGTTTTAACTAGTCCAAAATGGAAGCTTTGCTATAGCCGCCAAGTTATTGCTCTAATAAGTTTCCCATTACCATCATTTTATTCGCTTATTCAAAAGATATCAAGTATATCAAATATTTGCTTACTGTATGCCAGTAAATGTAGCTGCTAGAGATACAACAGCGGATCAGACTGAGTACCTTACTGCTCATATTCTACATCTGTGCTCTTTAGTATAAAGCCACTAGCCACAGTTGGTTCAGGACTTGAGTTGTAGTTAGTCTAAATTGAGATGAGGTGCCAGTGTAAAATTCACACCAAATTTTGAAGACTTCATTCAATAAAATGCAAAATATATCATTAATTTTTATATTGATTACTACTGGAATAACACTTTGGACATTCTGTATTGAATTTAGTAAAAATGTATTACTAAGGTGAGTTTCACCTCTTTATTTTTTTAATGTTGCTACTAGCAAATTTAAATTACATATGTCAGCTTGAATTACTTTTCTATTGGACAGCAGTATCGTGGATGGACAGAGTTAAACGAGTAAACGAGTAGTTTAAGAAAATAATAGCTTACATTGCTTTAATTGTGAAAAGTGCCTTGAAGAAAATAAATTGAGAGAAATAACCATAATGTCACAGGCAGCCTCAGAGAGGTCATTCCTGACTATCAAAAGCAATTCTCAATTAATTAAGAAGAAAAGAATTCCTCCCGTTTCTCCATCCTAATCCCTTCTTTGTTTCTTACTGGTCTTGTTCATCAGTGGACTCCTTAGCATGGTGCTTGGGACATGGTAGGCCTAGATAAATATATCCTGACTAACTCAATACCTCCTTTTAAAAATAAACATTCTTACCAGCTTTATAGCCCTGGACAGGATCCCATCTACTTGTATGTTAACTGCTACCTTGTATTCTAACCATTTCTTGATACTTAGATCCATCGTCTTTTATGGGAAAATAAGCAACTGTTGATTTAACAGCAGACCCTTTAACCCATTGTTTAACTGGTTTCACAATGTAGAACATATAATATTAACTAAGTACAAAAGACGGCCATTAAATCAAGAATCGACACATAATGGCACCAAAATAAAGATGGATGAAAGTCAGCAGACAGCCATCCTATACAAGGCTTTGTCAAAGAGCAAATTCTTGGAGACGTTGGGCGTGTTTTCTCACAACATTTCCAGTGTGTTCCTCAGGAAGGTATGTGGTGATGCTCCCCCTCTTCAGAAGTTGAAGTTCATTCACTGTTGGGCCTGACCCTATTGATTAGCTTACCTTATTGAGTCCTGACCTGAAGGTCACAGATTTCTCAACAGTCTAGGCTTGGCCAAATAAGCCATATGTGTTGCATGACTGACTGACATGACGCTATATAGACTATCTAAGCTTGGGACAATAAGAATTTGATTTAGTAATCTAATGAAAAGAGTTTGAGAGTCAGGTTTTAATTTTCTTGTTGACAAAAACCATGCAAAGGTGGATGAACTCAATGTTCAGGATACCAGAGACTAGCTTATTACTCAATACTCAAGATGGAATGTGGGCATTTGAGTACTTCCTCCTTATTTCCTGTTACTTGCCCTGCCCTTGCCTCCTACTCTTCACAAGGACTCATCTTTTCTGAAAATCATCTGTCATCTGGGACAAATGCTGGGGGTGGTGCTTTTCTGATGACACATGATATCCAAAGAGGGTCTCTGTTACTCCAGACAGAAACTTGCACAAACAATGCAGGTCACATATATGAACTTCACCTGAGGAGTGTGCACTGATGTTACCTTGTACATAAACTGTGCACACAACTCCTCATTCAGATCGGGAGTGCCTGACAGGTCAAAATAGTCCCTCCCATCCCTAGGAGTTCAGCACTTAAATGACATTCAACCACACATACTTATGCATTTGTGTCTCTATTGTATACTGTCACACCATGATCTTACAATCCTATTCCTTTCCTCCCTCCATCCTGAAGTCTCCCATGCCCCAATCTAAGCCCATAGGAATGTTCCAGACAGTGTTTGTGTGTAATGGATGGAAGACTCCTGGGAAAGGAGAAGAAGCTTGTATTTTAGGCACATCTTAGTTCTTGTTAGGACCAGTAGCCAGTCTAGAAGCCACATATGAACTCAAGAAACGAATTACTGATACTTGTACTTCATGATGCTCCAGATGTGGACAGGAATCTAGCATATCACTTCAGTCTATTTGTAGTGTTATAGTGTGTTTATGCCACAGTGGTACAGAATATACCACTGTGGCATAAAACAGTGAGCTGAAGGCATTTGAGAATCAACAGGTGCCAGAAAAGGCTCCCTTCCTCCCCAACCTGAACTCCCATAGCTGCCTAAACGCAGAGCCTCTCAAAAGAACTTGACCATCTTGCATCTCCTCTCCAGGAGTTTCACAAGCAAGGAAAATAGACTCTCGTCCTTAGAAATAACAAGTCAGCACCAGTACAAGAGATCACCAAACAGGCATTGTCATGAAACGATCATTTGTCCCATCTGTCTTGCCAGGACCCTTTATCTCTTCCAAGTCACTTGTTTATCCATACCTGCCCTTTCTTCTGCTTCTTTTCTCTTCTTAAGACGTATATAAGTCCCAATTCTAATGTCCCTCATGGTCACGTTTCTGTGTGCTCCTGTGTACGTACATGAATAAAGATTTGTTTTTTCTCCTCTTAATTTGTCCTTTGTCAGTTTAATTCACAGGCCCCACACACTAAACCTAACTGGGTGGAAGGAAAGGTTTTTCCTCCCTGATAGCGTCAGCTTTTTAGAGCAAAAGTTGGCAAGCTAAGATCTATTTTTTCCTTTGAGCTAAGCATTGTTTTTACATTTTAAATAGTTAAGCAACCCAAAAGAACAATAAAATCGTATAAAGTTCAAATTTCAGTGTCCATAAATAACATTTTATTAGAACATAGTCATGTGCATTTGTTTATATATGTCTATGATTGCTTTTGCAATCATAGTAGCACAGTTGAATAGCTGCAGCTATTCCACCTTTACTCTATCTCATGGCATTTTTTATTGTCTCCATTTTTGTTTACTTGTTTTGCCTTCCCCAACTAGGATTAACTTTCCAAGGGCAGAGACCTCGCAATCACCTTTTCCACTGTATCTCTGTGCTACAACCATCATATCTGACATCTAACAGTTGCTCAGGATGGATGAGTAGGTAGAAGTAGCTATTTATTGAGCACTTACTATATATTGGTCATAGGTATTAGGTCTTTTAATCTGGCAATAGCCTTGTTGAATGGATGTCACTTGTTACAAGCTTAATTGTGCCCCTCTCCCAATTCATATATTGAAGTCCACCCTCCTTCATAACCCCACAACTCAGAAGATGACTATACAGATG